AATTGCACAAACATAATGTGAATAACAAAAGATCAACATTATAATGAAATTTCAATACCCCAAATTATAGGTTTTGTCACAGTACAGAATTATTTAAGCGAGGTTCAGACGTATTTAGTATCTTATCAATGCTCACAAAAAGGTAGAATATCTCAAATAAATTTTCATCTTTAACTGAATCTTTGTTAGTTCATTATGCACATGTCTAAAACTGTAAGATTCTTGTATTTGTAAAACAACATTAAAACTCGCAACCAGAATTTTGTAATATCAATAATAAATGGATAGTTTTCGCTACTTTTTTAAAGTCTATCTTGAATTGCACAGAAATGTTAAACTGAAAAATACATCTTGAAATAAAGATGCTTCATTAATTTTATTAGTGTCAACCATATGACCAACATATGCTTATGCATATGCTTGAAAGAAGTACGAGAAATTACTCCATTCTAAAATAGCTACTACGTCACAATTAATGACACGTCGCATGTTTCCCCAGACATGTCACTATAAAAGTCCTCACAGAAATTCGATAGAAAACATTCGACTGAGTGGCTACTAGCCGGGACAGACCGAAGTCTCATTTCAGAGACGGAGCCTTACAACAAATTCAGCAGGAACTATCGTCTTCCGAATCTAAACCTACCCGCATAATAGGTGCTGAGCTATCCGTCCCTTACTTACCTACGACTGATCTACAGCGTGGTAAGCTGGACTTGTAGTTGAGGGTAAGAAGGATTTCCGTTTCCCGGCTATAACACTTACAACAACCTGTTGTGATAAGTATTATCCCGTTCCTGTCCACAACATTTGCACCTTGCTAAGCTGCGTTATGTTCTACCTATATCACCGAGGTTTTAAGTAATAAATAGCATAGCACTTTTATATAGTCCAGGAAATAAAACGGTTTTACTGACAATGGTTGATTTTCTTAGTGACACCCTTCTTAGATAGAAAATAAAAATTATAAAGAGTTAGTAGAGAGGAAGCCAATTTAGTCCACTTTGAACTCTGACCCCATTTTTTGGCAGAGGCGCAATTTTTTGGCGAAGGTGCTATTATGTCACGTATATATTACGTTGTAGGTCACGTATTATATCATGTTTTATGTCAAACGTCACGTATTCTCTCACGTTTGTCAATTGTCACGTTATATGGCAAATGTCACGTATTACGCCATGTCATGTTTTTACGTCACTTGACAATATAAGTGACATTTGACATAATTGCTGACAAAGTGGACTAAAGTGACTTCCTATCCACTCTAAAGACATCCAGCTTTAGAGTAATGTCGACGAACTTAAGCAAATAAGAAATTTTTGAGGAAAAGCACAAAAAACACGCAACAGCAATAATTTTTGGCGTTCAAAAAATGAGAGGTTTTCAAAAGGATATCATTTTATAGTAATTATCAATCATCGAACGATCGGAAATAGTGCAAAAATATCCTAGAAGGAAACCAGACTACTGCATTATAGGCGAAAAACTGTATAAACATTTGTGATAAAACCAAAATTACGTGGATCCCAAATTTTGCAATTTATGTAAACTACCTTTCACAATGTCACAGAAAAAATTATAACACGAAAATCATGATGCAACATCAACCGTTGGTCATTTGGACATTTCCAAAACCATATCTAGAATCTCTAACAAAACGTTATTAGGCCCCCAATGTACTACGAGATCAGCAATGTGAGAACATTGTAAAAGCTGTCAAAAGTCTAAAAAAGTACAAAACTGACAGAAAATGCAACAGTTCTAAATTGAATATTGCTGGATTTTGGTAACATAATAAAATGGAAGAAAAAATGAGATTTCCTCCATTATGAACCATTTAACACGTTGTGAAAGATAATTAATGCGGGAAATGCTTTTCATCGCTCACCTAAGTAGCACATGTTCACAAGCATAGTTAACATGTCAGTCAACCAGTCGTCCATAAAACTACAATTTGACTATTTATAATCGCTTTGTATATGCTATATATTGCAGATTCATTTGGAAACTTATGCAAGACATTTAACTTCTTTAAAACTGATGTGTTCAAATTACTGAATTATTAAATTAGCCAAAAATTTAACCAAACTTCTAGACACGTCCGAACTGAGCGACAACCTTCACTAGTTTTGTCACTACTATTTAATCGTCGAAGATACGTGGATCAAAAGCTCAATCGTTCAAGTTCTTACACTGCTCGAAATTTTGAGACTACATGATGCTTGTGAACCATTTTTTGTTTAAACTGAAAAATACAAAATATTTTTTGTACTATTTAAAGAACAAAAAAACTGTTTTGGTTATATTTTGTTCTAAAAATTATTATTATCTGGCTCTTTTTTTCTTTTAATAACAAACTGTCATAAATTGTTCGTTAATATAACAATTAGAAATTCTACGGCAAAATATATATTTAATAAAACTACGTAAAAACGATAGACCAACAGCTGGCGAACACATCCACAAAGTGTTTTATACTGAATATATTCTTTTAATTACGATCTTTTGTGGTTAACTCTTTTGTAGTGTATGTGTTGAATATATATCTATGTAAAGTCGGTATCGAATAATGAGACACAAGGTTAACTAAAATAAAACTTTACATTTTATCATTGTGTTTATTCCAAACACTATTTGATAAAACTATAAATCCAAGACGTTTTTATTCGTGGCCGTTATTTTTACGACTTTAAAACTTCTGCTTTCATCAAAAACCAGTGGCAATTAAAATGTTTATGTGACATTAACATGGCGGCGATTATGCACATTTCACTGTCTTTCTATAATTGATCTCACAGCAAATATTTCTTCTTCAACCTTATATCTTGTTTTACTATTCAGTTAAGTTTAAACTGTCGGAGTTTTCTTTAATTTATCCAGTTTTATAGCATTTAAAAAAGTGTTAATGTACTTCAGATGATAATACCGCCAGGTTGTCCATTTCCTAGTAATAGGTGTATATAGTATTTTTTATAAACAAAATACACACCTTTTATATTAGTTCTTGGACTAGTAGTTGATTCTGCGGATCTGTCAATATTCACTTTAATTAAACAGTAGCCAAATATTTGATAATACATATTACTTTTATATAAATTTGCCACTTACATCAATATTTGAAAATTCATTCAAAATTTCAATTAACGAAAACAAGAGCCAGCTAAATTCAAAACAATATTTGAGTATTCATATAGAAAAGGCGAGCTTCTTCGTACCTATCAATCTGGGACGCACTGCATATTTCTCTGTTCAGTGTTGCTACCTTCATAAAAATATATTTTTTGCAACACAAATTGACAGACAATTCCAATTCCAACTGCTACTGCACAAAACCCAAGTTTGAACTTTATTTTTGTTGTCATAAAATTATTGATATTTTATTCAATGAATGTAGTTTAAATGTGACAACAAACTGCACCTACAGCTAATTTCGTGAAAATATTAGGCAATTTTGGCTATTTACCAATATTATATATTTTTACATCCATTAACAAAAATCTATTGATGTGTATATTTTTAGTATAATGTTAGATTATGATTAAAACAATTTCACGACTTTTTTTGCCAAGTGCCGATATACTATAACTATTTCCTTTTTATATGTTGTATTTTAATAATTTTAATAGATTCCGCTTTGAAAATAATTAAAATTTGGTCTTCTTTATATATTTAGGCTCCAAAATCCAAACATTATTGATTTTTGGTAAGCCCGCCTATACTATATAATTACCCAATATTTCATAATTACAAAAAAATCAAAAATTTAGTAATACAAAAAACTGTCCTTTCTTCTTAATAAAACAGTTTTATCAAAATAACTATCTCAGATAAAAACACTTTTGGTCTTCATTACACTATGAGGGTATTTCGAAACAGAAAATGCTTTATATCGTTTATTTAAGACTAAGTCGATAACATTAAAACTTAATATTCTTTAAACCAATTAAAATGTATTATTTTTATAATACGTTATGTGTCTAAAAGAAATAGTACCAAAATCTGAAGAACCGAGTAATTACTCACACAAGTGTCATTTGTCATATATGTCTTAATTGCCAGTTGTCACCTTGACATCCTGTTAGGTTAACATATTAATCATGATGGTACGTCTAATTGAATTGAAAAAGGTGTTTAGTGTAGCATATTACCAGTAATATGGAATTGGACAAAATAGTGGCAGAAAATCTAGAACTCTGAGTAAATGCTCACGTATATGTTATTTGTCGTATCAGCTTTATTTGACAGTTGTCAGTACTTTCAACTGAATGAAAACAATTTTTTTTTGTATCATCAGTAACAATAATTTAGATATACATTAGAGAAATTTGGTACTATTTAGGACTGTTTTGGCATTGGTGGTCATTGAAGAACAGTCAGTGTCAATGATAATAAAGGACATATTGTTTATTTAAAACGATTTTTACAGATTAATAATTCAAATATTAATCACGATGGTCCTTTCTACCGAAGAAATCCTGAGTTACTGAGAATGTCGTACTGAGAAATACTTGAGCAGATCTGAGAATTTACTGTTTCACTGTTTTTTATGACTTTTCAGTAATTCGTACGCTTATCTATATTGAAATTATCCTTCAATTGGTATTTTATCCATTTAATCCTTTCAAATTGGTATTTATGCACTGTAATATATAATATAATTAGTCCATATGCATTTCAGCAGAAAAGGGGAGCATTAAAATACAAACATAATCTAATTTAAAGAAAATCAAGTCTTATTGTGCCGCATAATCTGTTAATATCAACAAGATTATATAAATCTTTTTCATGCGCATGTATTTCCACAACTTCAGGGGGATTGCTACTAAAAGTAACTAGACAAAAAATAAGCGATACCAATCGAATCCAGTTTTGTTAAGGACCACAGTTCTAACATTTGTCTACTTCGGAAAAAAGCATCCCAATACCGATCGACAAAAAAACTTATACATATTGACGGATGTAGGTTTACCCTGATCTACTTCTACATAATTGGTTTCTGGTTACTTTCTTGGTGAATACCTGGGATTGGTAGGCATGTGAGTGAAACTCCGTAGTTCGTAACGCATCTCGATGCCGTGCGCAGTCGCAGTGTCCATGTCGCATTTGCGGAAGATGATCATGCGGATATCGCTGTGGAGGTAGATCTTGCCGGATTTCGAACTCATAAATCTGAAAACCAAACGGTTATATAAATAAAATTGCATTTATTGGATCGAGTTTCTTATTTGGGATTAGACACTCGAAAGTACATATTTAGAAACACATTTAGCCAAATTTTTCTCCCTAGGTGTTCCCAGGAGTCGCTTATCAAAAAAATGTTTTTTTTCGAAAATTGTTTTTTTTTAGATTTTTTGGATTAAAATTGAGCTCAGGAAAAATATTTGAATTTTTCAAAAAAAAAATTAGGTTATGTAGATAATTTTTGAGTCCTTGAAGGAAGCGGTCTCTACAATTCTCGTCGGCCGGCACTAGTCGTCAGCGTTTTAGTTTGCTTGCGCTTTGCAGTCAGTGAGTGTTGATATTGTGTTCGACTTAGAAATGGCGGATAGCTAGGAAATGAAACAAAATAAACTGAAAAAATTGTGGGAGGAGGTGCTGAGGAGGAGGGAGAGTGATATGAGTGAATATGCGCCTTCAGACTCTGACATGTACAGTTCAGAAGAGGATCCAGAGACACCTAGAAAAAAAAAATAAGATTGTCCAATCTCCAGAGAAAAAATTTGACTACACTTCCAAAGAAAATTTGCCAAGTACTTCTGCAAGAAGAGTGGGGTTTTCGACAGATCCACAGACATCTAAAAATTCAGTTCAGGTAACAGAAGCAGGAAATACTATTAACAATGTTATAGAGCATGATATTCAGCAGAACTTAATTACAATGATGAGACCTTGACAGATGAACTTACTGCTGAGCCTGCTGAAGTATTTTCATGATCTGAAGTATCCGGTATAGTTAGCACCGACTTTCTATCGTCCGTCGGCAAATTCAAACAAAAATATAACTTCCAGATCATAGTTTACCACCTTTAGTCCAGACAAATTATTATATGCATTTAATATTTTTTTTGACTACCAAAAATGAGATGTTTTGACCAAATAATGCTTCAAATATAATGTGCAGTATAATTTTGAATTACCTTCCGCTAATGAACTTGCTTTTTTATCCTTAAAAGTAGAAAAAAGTTTCAATTATATTGCTTAATATTTCGTATAAATATAACCGTCTAACAATTTTAACTGTACTAATGCCCAAGTATCAATTTTCAAGTTTTAAACGGATTGATTTACGACGTTGCAATCCTGTTGTAAAAATACCGGCATGTGCCTTATCTAAGGGACAGGACTTGTAAATTTTTAGTTTAGTTGTATCTTCACAACTAGCTTTTTATAGATGTGCATTGTGCATTGCTTTAATTTTAAGTTGTGTTGAAATTTCATTGTGATTAGATATAATAATTTTAGTATTTTTTGTTGTTTGTTTTTTTGAAACTGTTTATTTGTTTATAAAGAAAATGTTTAGACCATGGGAAAAATCGCCTACAGTTTTTCGTGCATGGGAGCAAGAGAACCCAAGTAGTAGTAGAGAAAGTATAGTAGTCAACAATCTTTTAAGTGTAAGTGATACAAAAAACAATGACACTGAGACTGTAACTGTAGAAAAGTGTTTAAGACTTCCAAAGAAAAGAATTGTTTTGAATGAACAATCTAAGAGCATTTGTATGAACGTTTACAAAAATCTTCAAAATGATCCTGAAAATAGTTGTAAAGGCAGTATTATAAGAAAAGCAGCCTTTCTAACCGGAATTCCGTATTCTACTATGCGCGACATCGTGAAAAGTGGTGTTAAAAAGAGAAAAAGAAGATCGGATGCTGGAAAACCTAAACAAATTAATATCGTGACTGCTAAATGTTTAAGGAATTTGGTTTACGAGGAATACAAAAAAAATGTAATACCAACAATTGATATTATATACACCAAGCTTGTTGCGATGGGAAGGAGCTGCCCTAAAACCACTTTACGTAGGAGGCTGAAAAAACTTGGGTTCAAATACAAAATCGTTGATAAACGGGTGGCTATTATGGAAAGTAAGAGGATAGTACACTGGCGTTTAGATTATTTAAAAAAAATTCAAGAATATCGAGACCAACAGCGGACTATATATTATTTAGACGAGACATGGTATGACACGCATGATACCGCTAGTAAGGGTTGGACTGATGGTTCACTTCGGTGCCAGTTAAAAGGAGTACCTCCGAATAAAGGTTCTCGGATGATTATTGTGCACTGTGGATCTTCAAATGGTTGGGTGCCAAATGGGTTAATGCTTTGTGGAAAAAAAATAGAAAAATGTAGTGTAGATTATCATCAGAATATGAATTCTACTATATTCGAAGAGTGGTTTAAAAATACATTACTTCCCAATATAACACCGGGCAGTGTGATAGTTATGGACAATGCTAGTTACCACTCAAGGCTTCTCAAAAAAATTCCCAACAGTTCATCTTCAAAACAGGAACTAAAAGATTTCCTCACAGAAAATGATTTGTATTTTGAAGACAACTATAATAAGAAACAGTTACTTGAAGTACTTCGTACTAAAACTTATAAGAAACAATATATACTGGACACTATTGCAATACAACATGGCCATAATGTTTTGAGGTTACCACCTTATTTTTGTATATTCAATCCTATCGAACTTATTTGGGGACAAATAAAAAAACGGATTCGGAGGAAGAATAGTTTTCCAAAATTTGACGCGAAAGTGGTCGATTTAATTCGACATGAACTATCAGAGATTACAAGTGCCGACTGGAAAAAAGCAGTAAACCGTGTAGTGAAAGTAGAAAATGAGTACAGAAGACTAGGACAATTATTTTCAAACAGTGGACAACTTATTATTAATCTGGTGGATAGTGACGATGATGAGAGCTCGCCTGCAGGAGAAATATTTTAGAAAAGGTACGCTAACATGATGATTATTTCAGTTAAAACAACTCGGTTTTTCATTATAAATTGCTAACTTTGTTTAAAACAATATTTTCTTAAATGTAAAATACTTTTCCACAGTTTCGTCTATGTACGTCATCGTTAAACGCTAATGGGGATTTTCAACGGTTCTCATATATTTCAGACACTTATGATATGTCGTATAATTTTAATATATCTACATCATACGTTATTGGTATATAGTATATACCAATAACTGTACATACAAAAGACGTATGACATAGATATCTTAAAATTGTATGACCCATAACAAGTGCCTGAAACAAATAGGAAGCGTTAAAAAGCCCTATAGTAGATGCCGTTGTATCAGCTAGTATTTTTTCCGACAGGGTGGTAGAGTGATAATTTTTTTGCGTTTCACTTTTAACCATTTAAAAAACAAAGAAATATAACGTTTTGCTTGTTTTTCCAAAATCAGATTTTCTGCTCTTTGACTATAATATACACATTACACATTGTTATGTTATGATTTAATACTTGTATCAAAAAATTTGTGTCGATGAAAAAACGAATATCGCGATACGTCCCTGGATATCGGTTACTCGAATTTCATAACATACAAATATTATCTGTTTGACTTTGCCGACGGACGAAATATCATTGGACTCGACTATACGCACATGAAGAATTTTTAATTTACAGTGGGTAATCCTGCAATTCACGAGAACCTTTATGATTTTTATGAAAAAACTCAATACGATTTTTATAAATTAATGGTTACCGAAGAAGTATTTGAGTTATTTGTTAGAGAGACAAATATATATGCTGCACAAAGAAAGAGCAAACTACAAGATCAAGAGCACGTATTCAACGCTGGAATGATACGGATTGTTCGGAAATGGAAAAGTTTGTGGGGTGTATATTGTGGATGGGTCTTGTTCAGTCGCCATCAATTTCATTCTATTGGTCTACAAATAGGTTATATCATAACTTCATAAAAACAGTAATGCCCAGGAATGGTTTTCAGTTGTTGCTAAAAAATTCGCATTTTGTAGATAATAATTTTCCTGATGGTGACATAAGCTCTGTCTTGAAAACGGATATCATTACGATGCTTCTATCTACTGTGCGCAGGAAAGAGAACCAAATCAGGAGCAGTCAGTACCATCAAATGTTGTTTTGAAACTAACAGAAAATTTACTAAACCAAAGTCGCACTATCGTCGCGGACAACTATTACACCTCTGTTGAATTAGCATCGAAACTTCTGGAAAAAATACATATATTTTGGGTACTCTACAAAGCAACAGAAAGAACAACTCAAAAAATGTTGTTCAGAAAAAACTAAGACGCGGTGAACATATTGCCGAGGAAATCAACACAGGAATATTTATAGAGAAATGGAAAGACAGGAGAGACGTCCTTATGTTGACAACTAAATATGTTCCTGAAATGGTCACTCAGGCGAGAAGGTCTGGCGAAAAAACCAAGCCAAGAAGTATCATCAAGTATAACACAAAGCTTATATCGACATATCCGACCAAATGAAAGCTTACAATTCTTCTTTGCGCCGTGGAGTAAAATGGTTTAGAAAACTGGCTATCGAATTTATAGCTGGTTCCTGCTACTGGTATAGTTGTAAACGCTTATGTGCTCCATCAACTCATAACAAAATGTCTATTACAAAATTCCGAGAAGTGATCAAACGTCTTCTAAAATCTGCAGATCTACCAAATTTCGAGGACAACCAGAAACCAAGTCACAATCTTGAGGATAGTCAGAAGAAGAAGTCTTGTAGTGGATGCTTCGCCAAAATTTCAGAGGAATAAGGGCGTCAAGTTGCCAAAAATAGAACTCCCAAAACCAAGTTTAGATGCAACGTATGTCAAAAACACTTTTGTTCGCAATGTTTTTTTTAGATTTATTTTTTCCCTCGTAATTTTTTTTATACTTACACAATGGCCAACAGATCTCCCATTTTGCTTAACATCTCTACAAAAGATTTCCATATAGTTTGCATTGAAATGTCGCATCAGTGCTATGTGATGGGGCCCTAAGTGATTTTTGGTCGGTCAGTTTACATTTTGTCCCCACGGAGAAGGAATTAAAATGTTTAAGCAGAATGGGGGATCAACGTGATGGCACTTTACGTGTTAAAATAGAAATTTATTTTATAATTTTCAGAAATATTTTGCTGCTTGTTTATGAACAACTTCCATCTTTATTTTTCTTATCAAAGTAATTGCTTGACCCCAATAAATTGTAACCGTATAAAGTTCTGTTTCTAATAACAGAAATCCAGTTCAATATATTTGCTTCTTGATTTCTGTAGAATTCTGATTGTGAAAAATTAAAAGTCAGCAATAAATAAATAAAATTTCACATAATATGACAAGACTACTACATTATTTTGAAAAAGATCGATTCTAATAATTTTTTAATAAATTTCTATTTTTAGTTTTAACATATTTAACACATTAACTGCCATAGCGTCGACAGTGAAAGCATTGATACATTAATATTAGATAACTCAGGTCTTACGAAAAAAGTTCATGAATGTGCATTTACCTTAAATGTATAAGATACCGCAGCCACTTGGGTCCCCATTCTAAGTTGACCTCTTTACAATTTGTAGGCATATACAATGTGCGTTGTCTGATAAAAGTCTGAGAATTGGGAGGCATATCTGAGAGATCATACATTATCACAAACATCTTTACCACAGTTCCGAGCGGGTTGAACAGCGTCACTTGAACCGTACCCATCTTGGGTACATTGTAACTCTTCTTGCCAAGGTTGATGTGTCCCTGAAATCAAAGATTCTTTAGTAATTATAAAATGTATGCAGTTTAAACTATTTTTACGTTGGCAGTAAAATATTACTGGTACTATTGTAATGGATTTGTGTGAATTGGAACTGTTTCTGAACTAAATCACAACTAGAAATTTTTGGCGATGCGAGGAAAAAGGTTAATTTTATAGTAATCACTTACAATAATACAAACATTTTATTAAAAATTTCAGAGCTATCATAAAATCCCAAAATTGCTATCACGTTATCAGGCAACCAACCAGATGTCAAATAAAAATTGATGTTATCAGTATTGAACAATGAATGGAAATAAAATACCCGGGAATTACACTGTATATCTATGGACATCGGAACAATGAAGTGAGAGATGAGAGATCGAAAGAGAAGTGAATAGATTAGAAGAAAATTTAACGTTTCAATCAACCAATTTAACGTGACACCAAGGTCCGCATGGTACTTGTCCCCCGTATTATATTATTCCAAAGCGACCTCACTAAATTATAAATATTTTTAGTAGCCGTTCCACTCTATATAAGCCAATACGAATGTTTATTCGTTCTCTTCAATCTTTATCACTACAATCATTCTTAATGAATTTATAGTCACACAAATTGGTTAGTGTCTTGGCCGTATACACGGGTAAGTATCTTTTTCTAGTTTAAGGACTCTGTTTTTTACTTGTTTTCTTTCGCATAGCAGACACTTTCTTTTTGAAAATAAAGCTGAAAACATTTTAACTTTATTTTTTTTACTGTATATATGTACCTATATTATCTTATTTCCTTTAATATCTTATTAATAAAAACCTTTTCCTATTTACTTATTTTTATTAATTATTAATTAATATTTACTTATTTTTATTAATGCCACGCTGTGATCAGAGATTTTGCTGAGATCGTTTCTCTCTGAATACTCAACATTATTTCTGATCAGGCTTTTCTTTTGGGAGAAAACTGATTTTTGTATGAATTTTCTAGCCACTACCGTGGGGAGCAAGAAATAGACAACCACACTACCGTGGGGAACAAGAAAAAGAGAGCCACCCTACCGTGGGGAGCAAAAAATAGACAATCACACCACCGTGGGGAGCAAGAAATCAGCCAACCACATTACCTTGGACAATAATCAGCAACCACCTACAAATCCACTGATGCATCGAACAGAATTTGAAACCCATTTACCAATATGGGACGAAAATGATTGACATTATATAGACCAGCAACTCCCCTTAACTCAACCAACAACCACCGACAGCGGCTAACGTCCACAAAAATCGGAACCCTTCCTGAAGAACTGAACGATTCATTCAGAACGAACTAAAGCTCAGTACTTTTTTATACCTTAGTTATTTTATACCGGCAACCAGCATAATCTTTGAGTCTCAGTTTAATTTATTTTTGTTTCACATTCATAATTTGAATTCTGTTTATTTTTTATTTAATAAATAAATATACCTTCATTATGACTTTATAAGTTTTTTTATTTCCTGTACCTTTCTGGGATTGGTGTAGAGAGAGAATAAACAGAGAACGAACCCAGGGCTGAGCAGTCGGGCAGAGCACCATTCTGATGGATGGAACATGGGCGTTTTTCTCTTGAATATCCTATCCCTTAAATATCATTTCTTCCAGCAGTATGGTGTTGCTTAATGCCCTGGTCTTAATAAGATTAAAACGTTACAAAATGTAACGTACAGTGTATAAACGAATGGACACACCTGCGCAAAAGATGGAGTGACATACTTCAATAGAGGTATTAATCCGATAATGAATAAGTAGAATTGCTTATAACGAGGAAAAAGAAGAAGATTTAAGAGTTCACGGAAGTAGCGCAGAGTCCGTTATGATAATTTAGAAAATGTCTCCATATTGAAGATAATCGATCGAATTTGTAAATTTTTGTTGATACACTTGAGGCGTTCCTCGATTTCAACAACTTCTTGAATGATCTAAATAAAAAATTTAATAAAACAAACCAAATGACGGTATTATATTTTGATTTGATACAGAGCAGCAATAAGCCGCATATACGTATTTCGATCTCTTTAGATCTCCTCAGTACGGTATAGTTACTACTCCATATCAAACCTAAATATTTTCCCGTCGTAGATTACAGTTATTAAAAATAACTATTTACGGACGTAACTACGCCATCTAAGAACAAAAAAGAGTCTGTTTCTGTCATCTGAGTCATCTGTTTGCTTCGCAAGTCTTAGGGAGCACGGCGGCCTATATTTGAATTCGATTTCGCCAGGTAGAAATCGTATGATTTCTCTTTTTGTTCTTAGATGGCGTAGTTACGTCCGTAAATAGTTATTTTTATTAACTGTAATCTACGACGGGAAAATATTTTGGTTTGATATGGAGTAGTAACTATACCGTACTGAGGAGATCTAAAGAGATCGAAATACGTATATGCGGCTTGTTGCTGCTCTGTATCAAATCAAAATATAATACCGTCATTTGTTTTGTTTATTTACTTCATTTGGAGTACCAGAAATCGAATTCACTACGAATATAGGCCATAATCAACGGCATTTGGAGTGCAATTTTTAGACTCCCTTGCCGATGCATTCATCAAGCTGTTTGCTTCGCAAGTCTTAGGGAGCACGGCGGACTATATTTAAATTCGATTTCGCCAGGTAGAAATCGTATGATTTCTCTTTTGGTTAAAAAATTTAATATTTTCAATACTTACGAGGTAAGGTGATGAAACTTTATCCGTTTCTCCTAATGTGTAGAAAAATACTGTTACTGGCACAACAAGATGTTTAGGAACAAATGAACCACTAGCTCCCAGTTCTGCGGTAAAGCCTTGGACGGTAGAAACTGGTTCCAAACGGCCATTGAGAACCGACTCTTCAAAGCTACCTACAGTACAAAGAAACAAACTACATGTATTTTGATGTTTTCTCGACTATTTCGCTACATATTGCATTGATTTTTACTGCATTATATATATATATATATATATATATAATATATTATATATATATTATATATATATTATATATACATTATATATATATATATATATATATATATATATATATATATATAATATATATATATATATATGTTATGACTCCGTTAAATTCTGTTTAAGTGTTTTAAGTATACACTTATACAGGATAAAAGTTAAATTGATATGGGTTTAGGAAGGTCAAGGTACATATTAATCAATTGTAAATTAAATGGGTAAAGGAACCAAAAGAGTAAATAGTAAATATTGCACGAATATATCTGTAAGTAATATTTAAAATATATAAATGGTTTTAACAGCGTTATGGTATTCATTATGTATCAGTTTTGCTCTGTTAGCAATTAGAAAAACGAACCCTAAAATACGAAAGTTTTTGCTTTAATTTCGAATTGTGGCAACACTGTCATCAGATAATTGGCATATAATAATTCGTAAAATTTGGCAATTGTATTGTCAATGAAAAACGACAAAATATAATCATATTGAGGTTTTCAATTACAGGATCATTTCACCACAGAATACATCATCCAACAAGAAGCGAAACGAAGGGTTTTTCGCAAATTAAAATTTCTGTGACAATCCGCAATGTTCTAAATAGTTTATCTGTCAACCTATAAAAACTGAAGTTTGTTATTTGTTTAAGAATTGAGAAGTGTTGTTTCGTGTGTGTTGTTTAATAGTAAAAATAGATTATTGTATTGTTCGTGGGCGCCCATCTAAATCTGGTGAGGAAATAGGTAAGTCTCTTCTCAATACCGAGAGATCGTAGCAGGTGAACAAATTAAATTTGAAATTCAAACGCGTTAAAGATAATTCAGAATGTCGTGGACCTGACGTCATTATTTAGTGACGTCGATCTACGGATGAAACAACGAAATCAGGCATTGCTAAAAACATTGAATTCTCTTCGGTGCGTTATCTTAGCGAGACAGAGACGAACTAGTTTTTTGCGTTAGTGAAATAGCTTTAATATTTTTGTATTTTTGTGATCAATCGTTTTTAATATTTTATAGTGAGATACTATTTATGTTCAGTGCGTTTCAAGTCGTTTTTAACATTTTACAGTGAGATCATAAAAATGTAAGTTAAATTATGTTTATTTTAAAATAATTTATATGTTTTGTACACTTATGACAAATTAATGAATTAAAAAAAAATCACTTTTAAAAGTGTGTAAAATCTGAACTTTATTGTTTATTTTAATATTTTTTGCAAAAGATTGATATGTTTTGTAAAAGCTTGTCATAAATTAATAAATTAAAATGAAAAGTGTTTTAAAAGTGTGTAAAGCATTTAGTTTCTAGAATGTATAAAGCCAAAGGATCTTAGCTAGAAATTAAATGCTTTACAAACTTTTAAAGTACTTTTCTTTTCAATTCATTTTTTTAATGTTTTTCTTAAACTTAATCAATATTCAACATTTTATCTATTATCTAAAACCTACCGGTTTTACAGGGAAAGTAACAATAGAAAAGTGGTCCATGGACAAGGGAGGCAAATTATTTTTAACGTTTATTCATTTATGAAACGGGAAAAAGATTTGGGATATTGCACAACTCCTTTACCCCTAAAAGTGCGAGTGGCTCAAGCAACTGGTACCTCAGAAAGTACGGTAAAAAGGATAACTAAGGAAGGTAAAAACAAACCAGCAACTTCACAATTTGTATCACCCAGAACAAGTATTTGCAAGCCCAGCCCCAAGTCATCAGTCAATCCATTTGAGGAACACGTCATAAGAAATACCATTTACACGTTTGCTACCATCTACAAAAGAAGACCTACTATGAAAACTGTTTAAGAATCTGTTAGAAACGAAGGAATTGTAACTGGTAAACTATCTTCTTTCAGAAAAATTGTAAAAAAATTAGGATTTAGGTGGAGAAAAGTGGAAGACAATAGAAAAATTTTAATTGAAAAAACTGACATAAGAGCCAAATAAACAGAATTTCTAAGAAAACTGAAAAAATACAAATCTGAAAGTAAGATATTTATTAATTTACATTATAACTAATTTTAAAGTAATTCACAATTTTTTAGATAGAAATATTGTATATAGTGACGAAACTTATATACATAGTTCACACACAGTTCCAAAAGGTTGGGATGATGGACGAAACAAGTACATAACATCTCCGGTATCTAAAGGGCAACGACTGATCATCTTACATTGTGGTGGTAAAAATGGATTTGTCGAAAATGCCGCTTTTATTTTCAAATCCGGACAAAAAACTGGTGATTATCATGATGACATGAATCACCAGAATTATATGAAGTGGTTAAAAGACAAACTTCTACCCAATTTACCTTCCAAGTCAGTTTTAGTAATAGACAACGCCTCATATCATAATGTGACTCTTGAAAAATCTTATACGTCGGCTTCGAAAAAAAAAATCATAAAAAAATGGTTGACAAAAAGAAATATATTTTTCGATGAAAGCGAAACAAAACAAGCTCTACAGTAAGATACTCATTGCTAAACCTAAAAACCCAGTATATACTGTAGACCAATTATTAGCACAGCACGGCCACTCGGTTTTACGTTTACCACAATATCATCCGGAACTTAACCCAATTAAAAGATATGGGCCATTTTAAAAAATGAAGTTGCAGCAAGAAACACGACTTTTAAATTAGCAGATGTTTTAGAACTAGCAAAAATTGGGCTAAATGAAATCACGCCAGAAATATGGGCAAATACTTACAGGCATGTTGATAAAGTAGAAGAAGAGTACTTCAGCCGAGAATACATTCTGGATGAAGCGCATGAGATCATTATAAATTTAGATGATGATAGCGAATCATCTGAAACAGAACTCTCTGATAGCGACGACGACGACGGCTACAACAATGACCTATGAATACAAACTTATCAAGGTGGCAAGCTCGGTATTCCGTCCCTCCATGTATATTTTTTAGTTCTTTTAACATTTTATTAATTATTTCATTTCATATTTAGTTTTAATTAACGTGTATGTATGTATCTTATCGTGCGTAACCTAACACTCCGTCTCTATGTAGATGCCGCATTAATATTCTTAAATACTTAGAGACTATTCCGCTTGCACAGTCAAATTGAGTATATAATATCAGTACCATCTAGAGAGTGTCATATAACCCCATAAAAGTAAATAGTTTATCACCCTCCATCCAAGTTCAAGAACGAAATTCCAGTTTTCAGTCCAGCGCGCTGAAGAAAGAAGAAGAGAGATATAGCCTTCATTATTGAAGGTAGTGTACATTTAATTTAAATACACAGACAATTTAATTACACAGATTTTGGATCATTCTCAATAAAAAAGGTTAATTGTAATTTTTCTCTAAAGTTGATACAATTTAAAACTGAAAACAAAAACGAAAAATCATGATTTTTGAGGCTCTAAAACACAATTATTTTTGAATTCACCAAACCTTGTTTTATCAGTTCCTGATACTTTAGTTTCGGCTTATTTGATTTTAAAACATTGTTTTTAGTTGTTTGAGGCCCTTATCCCAATGTAAAAATGAATTTATACAAAACTATTCAATAAATTAGGACCACTTAGTGGGCGACATCTTGAACATTATTCTGCAGTTTTTATGAAAGTGATTATGCAAAAAATTTCATGCGGCAAAAAATCTCATGCGAATACTTTTCCCAAGGAAATTTGTTGTTTTCGTCTCGTATATAAACATATTTTGCTGAATTTAAATCCAAAATCCTATTATTTTTCTATCATACATTTATTTGTTATTTATTTATTTGTTCTCTAGATTTTTTTCAATTCGTAAAAGGTTTATTTACAAGCCAAATTAGTGCAATGTAAATATTTTACATGTTTACACAGCAATTCTTATCGGCTGTGAAGATGGGAAGTCGTAAATTTTTATAGCTAAAATAAAAATGCGATGACTAACTGGAATGTTTAAGATTAGAGAAACATAATATGTCATGTTTATTGGAAATACTCGACATTATTAGCACGTGCAAATCCTACCCTGTCGCCCAATTTCTTATGAAATTAGAATGGTGCATGTTTTTAGGATCCATTTATTTTTTCGGGCATGCGTATTTACGAGGTCCACGACATTCTGAAACATCTTTACAAGTTATTTGAACATTTAGATTTTAGTTAAATATAGTTTTTTTTAGAAAAAAATACAATTCATCCAAAACAGATCTACTTAAAAAACATTAGTTTTAATAATTACTTCGTTTCTCAGTGTAACTATTTTGACTACAGTTTTGAACAACTTCGTCATTACTTTTCTTAGTGTACTAAGTAGTTGCCACTCCGAAATTTCTGTCCTACGAACGTCAAAGGTACCGACAAGCTTTCGCTTCTTGTTGGGTGGAGTATTCTGTAATTTCACAGTAATCAGTACTGGAGAAAATATGGAATTAAAGCAGTAAATATATTCGATTAATGATTCTGTTTTACTTTCAACAAAAAAAGTAAAAATAGTGCAATAACTAGGGTTTTGGTGGTATCAAGAGTATGTTTGATAATTATCATCGTTTAATATTAGTAAATCATAAAGATAATGTCATTAGCGATGACTATAGATTTATAGCCAACAAAAATCCGCAACTGTGAAAAATAGTTTGAGGTATATTCAAATCAATTTATACTCCTAACTGAGATACCTATATAAAAATATTTGAGCATGCTTTACAACCTTTTTGATTTCTCTTAAAACAAAATTGTCAATTTCTATAAATTTTAACACATATTAAATAATAAATAAATAAAATAAAATGTACAGGGTATGTTGAACCTAAATCACATGTATTCAGCAGGTGAATTCGGAGGTTTAATCGGTCATTTAGAACGACAAATAAAAGAAGTCAGCTACTTCATTGATTTAATAGAATACGTTTCGCTTTTTTATTTTTTAAAAGCTTCCTCAGTTCTCTACAAAAAATAACGGTGTAAGTTTATAAGTAAAAAAAACAACAATGGTGGAATTCATACTTACAAACAATTTATTTGTAGGTTTTACTAGGTGTTATAAAAACTGTATGGTTACTTAACATTAAAAAAAAAACAACCAAAAACCAAAAACTGAAACAGAGCACTACTGTTCATTATCTGAATTGTTTGGTGGTTTAAATTGAACAGACGGCTTCATTTGGTTATGTTGTTTGAGATCCGGCATAGACAAAGCGACACTACATCTTCACATTTCAAAATTTTCTGTTGGTGGCCGACAGCATCTTATACAGTGCCGGATTAAGAGAGGCTATGGGACTATTAGCCCCCAGCGGTAAATTTTGAGAAATCTAGAGGAAAAGCTTATGAAGATCTTGCCATCACTTTCTCATTTTTATTTTCTCTAGTTAAGTATAAAAATCCAACAACGCATACTGCTACTTTTGTGATGGAGCTTTTTTGCATAAAAATAATTTAATTGCAACCTTCCCAAACGTAGAAATAGCACTAAGAATCTTCTTTTCGTTGATGGGTACTAACGCAACTGGTGGAAGATCATTTTCCACATTAAACCGGATCAAAAATTGTTTGAGAAATACGATGAAAGAAGAAACATTAATTCGTTCGCTGTTTTAAATATTAATAATGATCTGTTTACAAAATTAGATTTTAATAAAGTCATCGACCTGTTTGCAAGTAGGAAGTCCAGGAAAATTTGTTTGTATATAATTATAATATTATAATGTTAGTTTACTTTATAAGTTGTGAGTTTGTCTTTGTGTCTTTTATGTATATTTGTAATAAATTACCTAATAATATTAAAATAGTTTTAATGAATTGTTAACTTAAGACGCATCTATACCTACTGGAGACTGTCGGTATAGAATGACTTAGCCCCCGGCGGTCCATGAACTAAATCCGGCACTGATCTTGTAATGTACCTTTTTATTCTTACATAGGAGGCCCAAAAAGGTTTAGAGAGTTGCGCTATTGTCAAGTGCATTAGAGATGGAATTAATAAAATTTGTGGAATTTTTTGTACAATTTTTGACTATTTGTTGTATGAGAGTGATATATCTGGCTCAAGTTATGCCAGTTCTTTTATTTAGGGCTGTTGGATGTTTTACAATTTGGTACATTTCAAGGAGTGATCTCTTTTCTCTCAAAAATTGTCAAAAATTTTCCTTCAAAAAATATAAAAATATTAGTAAATTATTGATCACGTGAGAACCTAATTATACTGAGACCTTGTCCATAGTAAAATTGCCCATAATAAAATGAATTACATTAACAAACATCCACGATTAAAACAATAAAGTAGGTTATTGGGGACATACCCTGTATGAAAAATCATTAAAAGATACCTAAAAATAAATTAATAGTAAAATACTTTGAGAAAAATACAAAGAAGTACGTACATCGTGGGCTACCGCGTATCCAGGGTGTGTAACAACAATAGATAACGCCCAATCATTGAAAGTATGTATTACCAACCTAATAAACCTGCCGAGTGGCCCCTTCGGCGGTACTTGACAGGTGACACACCGCCTTTGTGAGTTAACAGTGTCTCAGGACTACACGGAGACACTATGCTGCCATCGCTCTCGCTTTCATCGTCTGTAGAGAAACTGGTTGAGAACAGGGCGCTGAAATAAAAAAAAATGTGGTACAATTTTACTCCAGTCGTCAGAGATGAAAATCCCACTGACCCTCTAAAAGCATACGAACAGCTGAGTTTTGTTGAGAAAGTCAATTTTGAGACCTCAAAAATACTTTATAAAAAAAAGTTTACCACTCCCACCGAAATGAAAAAAAAAAAAAAAAAATTTAACAAGAATCTGTACGCCGTGGAAACAAATGTTTTGTATCAACTTGTCGGTAAAAACTCATTCACTTCTATTTATGTTTTTAAAAATTAAGCACGCTATTTCAAAAATATATGGATGTATTAAGAGCGTAGGCGCAAAATTTCGGGCCAATGTTTTTTAAATGCATTCATTTTTTTCGAATCCTAAGACAACTAATAAATATTTTTGAAAAATTTGAACGCAGAATGAAATATTGCATTATTAACGAGGACCGAAAGTCCTTTAGAATAAACAAAAAGTTTTTTTGAATGAGATATTTGAAATTAAAAATCACACTAAAGTTTCTTTTCTTTTTCACCCCTGTAACTTATTAAAAATATACATTCTAGAAGGTTTCAAGGACTTTCGGCCCTCAGTAATAATGTAATCTTTCATTCTGCGTTTGAATTTTTCAAAAATACTTATTAGTTTTCTCAGAATTAAAAAAAACGAATGCATTTAAAAAGCATTGGCCCGAAATTTTGCGCCTACGCTCTTAAGATACCACGTTTCCGGAACAAAGATCGGCATGGTGTACCACACTTAACCTTGCATAACTATCTGAGAGCATAAAAAGTCTGCTGAAATGATGAAGAGAACAGCTATCCCAAAGGGCAATATCGTATCTCAAATTAGATTCAATCAAGGCCACATAAACACTTTTTGCAATCTTAAAATCGAAGTGTTGTGCAACTGATTTGACAGCAAAGCAACTCGATGGCAAATATGGTAATGTTGGCATCTTTAAATCCCTTCTTTTGAGCGTTTCTGGATTAGTTATGGTGTTTTTTTTTTGGTTCTTTTCTACAACCTAGTAAAATTTATTGTTTATAAATGAAAACAGGTAATAGTTTTTTGTTAAAACCTTTGTTAGCGTGATTTTTTCTTCTCAAAATGCATTTTCATTAGAGCAGGTATTTTGGGCTCTATAACGATTTGATAATTCCCTTTTTGATGTTTATGTTGTGGTTTGAGTGGTAATTTAAATATCTGTTGGCGTGGATTTATTTTCTGTGGACTTTATTTGCATATCCTATATCCTCGTTTAGAGAAGATCATAAGAAATCAGATCGATTATATAACAATTACCGAAAGGTACCGAAATTCAATCAAAATAATTAAAAAACACTACCTGGAGCCGATGTCCCCACAGATCATAACTATTAATCAGTGACATAAAACGCAAACTTAAAAAAGTAAAACGCCAACAATCGATTAACCGAATAAACACTGACTGACCGGAAGAAACACATAACGTCGAAGACCGAAACGTCGAACATAATGGACTCAAGTCCATTATGCCATAAACAACTAAAAAGTATAAATCTATTAATAAGCGCAAACAACAATGGATGACTGATGAAATATTGGGACTAATGGAAAGCAGGCGAAAACAGAAAAGTAAAAACACTGAAGAATACAATAAAATCTATAAAGAAATCAGAAGGAAAATCCGGAATGCAAAAGAAAAATGGTACAGCAACAAATGTCTTGAAATAGAAGAACTGTAGAAAAAGAATGACACGTTTAATATGTACAAAAAGGTGAAAGAAATAACTGAAACATATAGAACAACTGCAAGTAGTTTACTTGATAAACAAGGAAATATTATAGTCGATGAAAAAGACAGATTAGAGAGGTGGAAAGATTATATCGAGGAGCTGTTTGATGACGATAGAACAGAAATTCAAATCGAAAATATATCGACTCGTCCAAATGTAACACTCGATGAAATGGAAAGAGCTATAAAGCTATCAAAGAATAGGAAAGCAACCGGCATAGACGAAATTCCAAGCGAAATAATCAAACTACTCAACGATAAGGGTAAACATTATCTTCTAAGCCGCTTCAATAAAATATACGAAACAGGACATATACCAACAGACTGGCTACTGTCAACATTTGTAATGATACCGGAAAAAATAAATGCCAAACAGTGTAGCGATCATCGTACTATCAGTCTGATGAGTCATGTACTGAAAATTTTCCTAAGAATAGTGCACTCGAGAATTTACAACAAAATAGAAATACAACTAAGTGAAACACAATTTGGTTTCAGAAACAAACTTGGAACCAGAGAACCACTCTTCAGTTTGCAGGTCATGGTTCAAAGATGTAGGGATATCGAACAATCGGTATATGTGTTATATCGACCTCGAAAAGCTATTTGTCAGAGTAAACCATGAACAAACATACGAATTGGACACAACACGACGGAAGCAGTGGAAATACGACGTGGAGTGAAACAAGGATGTATTTTATCACCTCTACTTTTTAATATCTACTCCGAATTTATTTTCAAAGAAGCCTTAGTTGAAGTAGGCAATCAAATCAACGGAATTAATGTCAACAATCTCAGACATGCAGACGCCATGGGACTTATTGCCACCAATGAAGAAGATCTGCAACGACTTATAAACAGGGTAAACGAAGCATGTGATGAATATGGGCTAAAACTTAATACTTCTAAGACAAAACTTATGGTTGTCACCAAAACGGAGTTACAACCAATGAACGTCAGAGTTAGAAAGAGTCCATAATATTACCAATATGGCCACAAACGTTAACGATAACTGGGATATAAATAAATAAATAGGAATACGCATTGAAAAAGCCAGAGCCGCCTTCTATAAATTAAAGAAAATTCTAATTAATAGAGATATTATGTTAATATCAGATTAATACGCTGCTACATATTCTCCACATTGCTGTATGGAATGAAGAGCTGGACCCTTACAAAGACATTAATGAAAAAATTAGAGGCCTTTGAGATGTGGATTTCCAGTATTGCGGATAAGTTAGGTCGATCGAATAAGAAATAAACGATAAAAACTCGAAATTTACAATATTTCGGTCATGTAATGAGACATCCACAGAGGTATAACCTTCTACACCTCATAATACAGGGTAAGATCGCCGTAGAGGCCCAGGCCGAAGAAGAACATCCTGGCTCCGAAATCTCCGAGAATGGTATCAAGAGATCACCGGTAATTTATTTAGAGCCGCCGCAAACATTTTATTATTGCCAATATGATCGTCAACGAAGAATATCCTCGTTTGTGATTAAGACATCCAGAAATGGTAGTGAGTTGTTGTTTTTCTTTTTCATGGTGAGTTTGATTGATTCTTCTTTACTGTTATTGTCCATCAGAAATTTATTCGATGCTTCTGGTCCATAAGGTCAAATGGAGCTACATATCTCCACCATATAGTGGGTTGTTGGAAATGTTTATGCACAATGTTTTGTTCGAATTTCTTCATGAAAATATCTGCTAATAATGGAGACAACGATGAGCACATGGCTAATCCATCGTTTCACACATATTTTCTATATAATGTTTCATAAGTTTCAATGTTTTACATCTGCCAAGCGTCCTGAAACGTCCTTATTATTATCATCTGTTTCAATAGTTGGTACTATAAGTTATTTTCATAAAAGCAAATTTTTTCTTAAGAAAGATATAATAGAAATACTTTTTTACTGAGTATGACAGCCCTTAAGAAAACTAGGAGCTCTGGAAGAAAATTTTGGTTGCAGACTGTAACAACTTTGTATAAAATGCAAAGTACGAATTGAAATGATTGAAATGAAAACACACAGCAATTGTCAGTTTTCTGCTTGAACCAAAATTTTTTAGAAGAGGATAATGTTTGTATGTTTGTAACACTAGTATATATACTGACCTTTTTATTGCTGAAACTGAGTTGATAGAAGAATCAAAATCAAAACACGATTTTCCCCTTCTCACAGGCGCAGGACTACTAGTCAACGGTAAACCCGTCCTCGAATGGAAAACCATCGAAGCAGCGTTATCTAGATCTTTCCTAAACTTGGCTTGCTCCACCTGGCTCGGTACCTCTCCCTTGCTAACGCCTTCGTCGTCGAACTGGATTTTCTGTCTAACATGAGCTCTTTTTCTAAGATCAACATTAGAAATGTCTCTTATTTTTTTCTCTTTCAAAATTGGAACAGGACTATCACAATGTTTATCTACGTATACTCTAAAATTAGGTTTATCTCTAATACTAAGAATATCACTTTCTCGCTTATCACAATTCGCTATATCACTCTCGCTTGTACTCTTTTGGCCGCTGCGTTCTATAGCCTCCAGTAACAGCTGGCCCTTGTCCTTGTTGAGATCATTTTTGGCTACGAGAAGCGACCTCTGGCAGCAAGTTTGGTTATTTGGTTTATCGGAAGCATAAAAATTTGAATTTTGGATGAATGTGTGGAGCTTTGGCCTGTTTTTGCTGGTCGACGCTTCGCAAGAGACGCTGGACTTACTGCAGAGTCGCTTCACGTTTAATTTGTTGTCTATTTTGACGTTCTCTTCTTCTTCCAGGTCTTCGCATCGGTGTTTACCCTAAAACATGAAAGTTCCTGTTAAATTACTGTTAATACATCAGAAATTGGCAACTTTTACTAAATAAAAGTGCAATTATAATCTGGTTATGTAGATAAAAGTCACCAGCTAGGACAGTGTGGCCCAACCTCAGGCACGCAAGCCGCATGCGGCCCAAGGCTCGTTAAACTGCGGCCCCGCAAACATATTTCAAAAATATTGCCATTGATAACTTTTACCTGTTCCAATCCTGTCTAACTTTTCGTAATCTTAAGAAAGTAGTTAACCTTGAACACCCACTTCCACACCCTTGTTTATTATTAAATACTTCATTTGAAACATCTTAAACTTTTTTAAACGCCAGTTTTTAGAAAAAATCTAAGTCTCAGGTTAATTTTACACCCCAGTGTATATCTTTTTAAAACACAAAAGTTATTTCCAAGCAAAATAATAAAAATACTGTTACCTTAAGCTTGCAAGGAATATGCATCCTATCGTCAAGTAGTTTATTATTGATATCCATGTCATAAGCCGTTTTCATTGCGCAGTTATTGCAAGTTATCTTTGGAATTGTGGCACTTCTCGGCAAACTTAAACAGGAAACGTGAAGAACTATGCCGTTACCTAAAATCAAATATTTGCTACAACATATAAAGGAGACCATTAGTTATTAAAGAAAAATTGAGAAAAATAATGTCCAAATATTATATGCCAAAAAAAAAACAAGTTTTTTAGAACAAAATTATACTCAAACTTTAGACAATACTACAAACATTGTTGAAAGTTTTGTCTATTCAAGTTTAAACACACACTGAATCTTCTCTTAAAGCTAAGCGTCCATAGTTCCGCTAAGTACGTATCGGATTAATTTTTCATACCACATACCACCGATATGGCCACTTCGACCACCGAGGTGGCCGATGCCACTTCATTCGAATTTTTGTAGTGATTGTAGGTACCTGCAGAAAGTGTTTGTGAGAATGGAGGAAAGCGATGAAGAACAAGTCATTATTGCTTGTTTTTAGCAGAAGAGCAAGAAGAAGAAAGAAAATCTTGAAAAGCATATTTTTTGGATTATCCATATCTCTCATAAGATCTCTCTATATCTCTACTGATAACATTATTAATTTTGATTACATAATAGATAATTACAAACTTTTATCTTTGAAAGGGCTAGCGATATGACAGGCGAGATATCTCTGGAGTCGACTTTATAGCTTACAGTTTTTTTTTTGCAAATGTACGAACCTTTACTTCTCGATTGATAGTCATATATCCTACCGTTTCTGCTTCCATACCAAATAAAAAGATAACTTACCTATATCAGTTGCTGGAAAATCGTGCTTGGTCGCCGCCAGGTGGAAATTCGACGTTGCTATTGTCTTTCCGGGAGCTGTCAAATGGTACCGAAAATTGTCCTCGTGTATTGTCAAAGGCCAGGAATCGTCTTGGGTAGTGAGCCATGCAGTTATCTGAGAGAAATAGAGCTGGGACCGTATGGCGCTAGCAAGTTGTGTTATGTTGAATAGTAACGGTTCAGCAGACCTATTAGAAACACCATTAATAATATTTAATCTGTCAAAATGGTGGGAACACGTCATTAATACATTTTAAAAAAATTAACTGTGTTAAAAAAATTCTGGAAATTAGTCAATCTTGAATTTTGTATTTTTGTTATCTCCATAGAATGTTATTTCCAATACAAAAAATTTATTGTAATACGACGAGATGGCTTTGGAGACTGTTATTATTGTCATATCATATCATATTGAAATTTACAATTTGCTTACATATGATTGATCAATGTTCTTAGTGTCGAAGATTGTGCGAAAGCCGTTGCTCTGGTTGAAGATGTGCGAAATTATGAATATGTGGCTAGAGTACTACACACTTATCGCTCTACCATCCAAAGGGTAGTGGAACGTTTTATACGAACTGGAACAAACAAGCGTAAAGCTGGAAGTGACAGGAAGCGCAAAACTACTGCTTTAGATGATAGTGTTATACGAGTAAACGCTTTGCGGGATTGTCATTTAACAGCGGTGGAAACAAGAAATCAGCTTGAAGACGTTCGAGGCAATAATGTAAGTGTATTTACAGTGCGTCGAAGATTACATGAATTTGGTTTGCAAAGTTGCAGACCAATAACTGGGCCCAAATTACTTTCACGGCACACAGTTGCTAGACTACAATTTTCCAGCGAACATTTATATTGGAATTTAGGACAATGGACTAATGTTCTTTTTACGTATGAGTCAAGATACTGTCTTCACTCATTAGATGGGAAAGAACGAGTATGGCGTTAAACTGGAGAGATATTTGCGGAGTGCGCTTTCAGTAACCGCGTTAGCCATGGAGGGGGTTCGGTGAAGGTATGGACAGGAATATCTCGAGAGGCGCACACTGACTTGGTATTTATTGAGGGTTCGTTGACTACACACCGGTATATTGAGGAAATTTTAGCGAATCACGTAGTACTCTTTTCTCAATATATCAGTGATGATTTTCTATTAATGCAAGATAATGCGCGACCTCACTCTGAAATGTGTGTTACGCAAAATTTAGAGGAAGTTGGTATTAATAAAATGACCTGGCCAGCTTGTTCGCCAGATCTGAACCCAATAGAGTACGTTTGGTACATGCTTGGTAAAAATATTAGAGGTGGCGAAGTCGCACCAGCCTCAATTAACGAACTTCGCTTGGCTCTAGAAGAGGAATGGCGAGAGATATTCGCAACCTCATAGACAGCATGAGCCGACGTGTACAGGCAGTTATAGAGGCTAGGGGCGGCAATATAAAGTATTAAGTTATTTTTTAGTAGTTTTCTTTGTTATTTGCGTACTTTGGTTAAGTTATATTTAAGTTGTTTTTTATGTTTTGTCATTGTTATCATTGTTCATTAAAGCCAAGATTATGTCGTTGCTTTTAATCATTATTTAAATACAGGGCTTCGGGAATGTCGATATGACATTCCTTTGATATCAGTCACCAAAGTCCCCATCGTCGTATCACAAATTAATATAAAAGATAATGGTAATAATAGAAAAACTCGTAAATTGTGGGCGTCATTTCGCTCCTAAAAATGAACCAATCCATACTTTCACATGAAATTAAAAACATAATACTTAGAAGACATGGTTGCAACCGAAAAACAAGGTTTTACGAAAATCCGCTAACGGAATTATTTCACAGGATGTTTCAAATTTAGGATAAAAAAACCAGCTTTCGATTAACCCTGTATAATAAGTCAAATACAAAATTTTAATAAAATATTTACTATACTAAATTAAAATTTACAAACTTTTACAGTGCGCTAAAAAAATCATCAAAATACGGCTAAAAATAAAAAAATTGAAATACTTTGAATTTGACCAAAATTTTCTCCGTTGCGTTTTTTTTGCATCTTAGTGTATGTATTGTTAACTTCTAAATACATAAAATCTAGCTCCATCACAAACAAAAAAGCTAAGATTTGTGAAAGATTTCTTAGAATAGGATTGCCTAAAAAAGGTTCAGCAGAAGATAGCATTGATCTGTATAGAATAAATCCGAAAAATCACTTTAAATAACGCAAAAAATTCTTTAAGTATGTACTACAATAACATTTTGTAATGAACGGAAGGAGATAAAATATTGTAAAAAAATAAAACTTGATAAGGCTGTTATTATATAATCTTTATAAACCATTAAAATGATGCAATGGACTCCAAAATATTGATGTTATCAAGCTTATTATCACGGAAAATATTGTATAAAACTAATACCTTTATTAATATATAATATATTTACTCCGCAAAAAAACAAATGTAGGTATATGTGGCAACATTGAACCTGTGCAATTTTATATTGTGCACAAACGCGTTTGACTTCTTTTTCCAAATGAATGAATTTTGGCCATTTTACAATATTTTATATTTTTGTTTAATTTAATAGAGAAAAAATAATTGGTCTTTACAATTGGTTTATACATTTTATATAACTAACGCTATGTTGTATTGTGATAACATCGTAATTTTTTATTTCCTAGTTTTTATAACCTTTTTTTCAATTATTGTTCTGAAGCTATTTTCGTGTGGCATTTTAAATTAATCACTATTTAACTGGGAATAAGCCAGAATTAAAGATAAAAATACGTTTATTGACGTTTCAATTTCCACTTCAGAAATCGTTCTTAAAATACAAACAGTAAATTAAACAAATTTTGTTTTTTGTTACATTTCTTCTTTACATTACATTAATTCTTCTAATAATTTAATTTTATTTGACTCATTTATATTGACAATTCAGACATACATTATGCATTTTAAAGTAGACGACTTTAAAATGATATTGCCAATATTGTTCAGTTGCGCTCCTGGGACGACTTTACTTATAAGATAGTTCATTCGATTACACGAAATCAACTTTAACTTGAGAATATCCGCCAGAAAAAATCATAGCATATAATTCGTCTTTAAAAAGACAAACACATGACATGATGACAGTAAAATTCTCCTGTTAGTGATTCCGTAGTAAATTATGAGGGAAAAACCAGGAAAAAAACCTCATAATACTATCCCGACATGGTAAGTATTTGTTCGTGCATTTAGTTTACCTTCAATAAACACCAAAATTCTGATTTTATATGTTTCGTTATTTAAAAAACATAAATGATGTATCCTCTATATGTTACTGACTTACTAATACTGGTATTTTCTTATTAATAACTTCCTCTTTCAATATTGGTAACCAGATCCTACTACATTCTGCCGAGGAATTTAAGACACAATTGGCCTCATTTAGCATAATTAAAGCCGCTTCTTTGATTTTTCTTTTTTTACCATCCGTCTCTTTTAGGACTACATTTGAATTATTCCATTGAACCCTATGTTCATTATCCCATGCGTGTTTACATATTTGAGATCTATCAAATTCTCTATTTTTAATATAAGACTGATGTTCACTTATTCTAACATTTAATGGCCTTGATGTTTCACCTAAATAAAACTGATCGCATTCACAAGGTATTTTATAAATGCAATTCTTTGTCCTTTCTTGTTCATTGTTAGGTTTGGTTTTAGACAAAATAGATCTCAACGTGTTTGTTGTTTTGAATGTTGTTGAAATGTTGAATTTATTGCCTATCCTTTTAAATTTTTCTGATAATCCTTTTATATACGGTATTGTTATTTTCCTCGTATTATTCCTTGTGTATGCTGTAGGATCTCGTTCTAAAATGTTCTGTTCTATTCGATCGATTGTTGAAAATTCCTTATTTATAAACGATAAAGGATAATCATTTTTTAATAAAACAGATGTTAACAAATGTTTCTCTTCCAAGAACGAATTTTCGTTAGAACAAGTAATTTTGGGTCTATCGTATAAGGATTTAATTATTCCCTTTTTTACATTAATATTGTGATTTGATTTGAAATTTAAATATCTATTGGTGTGTGTTGGTTTTCTATACACCTGAGTCTCATATCCAGTATCGTTCTTAGAGATTAAAACATCCAGGAAAGGTAGCGTGTTATTATATTCCTTTTCCATGGTAAATGTTATTGTCTCTTCTTTATCGTTTATATCATTTAGGAATGTGTCCAACAACTCTGATCCATGAGGCCATATTGAGAATACATCATCTACATACCTCCACCATACTGTGGGTTTTAAATTTTGTTTAGAAATTATATTCGTTTCAAAATCATCCATAAATATATATGTAATTGAAACGTCAATAAACGTATTTTTATCTGTAAGTGTGGCTTATTCCCAGTTAAATAGTAATTTATTTTTTTTCAATGTTTTGTAACATTTTTACACATTTCGTATGTTTCCGTAACAAAAAATTCGAACATTTTTAGCGACAAGTCCATAGCAAACAACAATAAGTAAATAGAAATTGTATTCTCATTGTGTCTTTTGTTGTAGTCTCGAGGGAAAATTAGAGAAATAAAAACGATGTTACTGCACTCTACACTTTCCCAAAGAGTAATAGCAACTACTGCAGGTGTTTCAAAGCCTGTAGTTTAAAATAAAAATTGATTCAAACGAAGAATTGGAACCGGGGCGTGTTGGAAAATGTGACAGAAAAAGGATCATTACTCCTCGGACTGACCGTAAAATCAGGAACATCTGTTCAAATGGACCAAGCAGCACCGAAGTGTGACCGTTGAAGACTGGAGTCGAGTAAGTACAACATTTTTTTAGCGAATGGAGTTCGTGAACAGCGAATATTGTCATTTTTCAGGTATGCTTCTCCGACGAATCAACATTTCAGATTTTGGTGGACAAAAGTGCGTTCGTCCGACTAAATATCCCATTAGTGTCATGGTGTGGTCTGTACTCTCGGCCAAGGGTATGGGACTCTTATACATCGTGGAAGAAACAATGAGACAGGACCAGTATAAGCGAATACTTAAAACTCAGCTACTTCCCCAGCTCAAAGAATGGTTCCCTGGTAAAAAAAATTACATTTTTATACACGATTCTGACTTAAGAGCAAAATTAAACCACAATGCAAAAGTTTGTATTTAGAGCATGCCCCGACGTCTAGAAGCTGTAAT